TTTTATGGTAGCTATGTTTGTTCTAAAAAAAAGTTCAGAAACCCTGCCCTTGTGTCCAAAGAGAAGAGATCATAGTATTATGAAAAACATGATGATGTTACAACATATTACGAGAATCCATCATCAACGAAACTACTGATTATTATATTTATTAACAATATATTGTTGATATAATCAGTTGTTTCATCACAAACTAGATAGTGTTAGCTATTATGCCTCACCAGAAACAAGCTGCTACCATCCAGTAGTGGATTGCGTCTACAGTCTGATTGTCGTATTCTTATATAGAGTTGACTTCCCCATCAAATTGTCTCTATTGACTTCAAACCCATCCTAGATTTTGCCTCCCCCACTGTGCAGAGCCCTTCCGCAATCGACAACGGCAGTTCCTGGTGCTGCACATGATCCGTGTGTATGCAATAGTTGCTCAGATGAAACTTATGCAGTCGGATGCTCCATGTACGGGCCTTTTCCTATGACAATATTTGCAGCAGTTGCTAAGATGAAACATATATATGGAGTAGGCTTTATGTGTCTGTTTATTAAGTGACTGTCATCCATTGTTATGAAAACTCTGTTTCATTATATGTTTCCTAGGACCAACTGTTTGTTAGGGTGATCAATTCCTACTAGATATAGTTATTTTATTGTTTCACTATAAACAGTTGAAAGCTATCCCCAGGTGTAGTAATAGCTGAAGCAGACTCTTGAGCTATGAAAAGCATTTATAAAGCAATTGATGCTGGAGTAGTACGGTTGTAAATAAATAATCCTGGTTCTTTCCTGAACAGATACTCATACTGTCTTGCTCATAAAAGTTGATCTTCAGAGTTCATACCAATATTTGGAAGTTGTAAAAAGAATTTTTTTAGTAATTGACATATCTTTGTATATGCAAATGCAAACCAACTTGGATGCCGTTCTCTGTTGATTCAGGAACATAGACTATGTCAGACAGGTGCTTCTTCAAAACCAGGACTACCAGATTAAGGTATCCAACTATTTTCGATGTGTCACTCTACTCAAAATGAAGATAACTTCGACTTTTTGACAGGCCACATCAGAGCCAGAGACCGTGACTGATAAGACACCGAAGAACAATCACACGTTCAGTCTTAAAATAATAGATTAAATAAATGCACTTCCCGAGGACCGAGCCACCGCCACAAGGCCATCCCGACCTGTGCCGCCACCTCGCTCATCCCCGATCCATGGGCGTCATTCGCTGCTCCTAGGATGGAGCACTGAAAAGGAGAAGGTGCAGCTGCCGCACGAAGGTGCTCAGGTCACGTCGGGCCCCTTCGTCAGTGACGAGCACCAACAGGTATGCCCACCCTTCTCTTCCCTTCGTGCTCTGCGAACTGAGCACCCAAACCCTAGAGTCATTTGTATTCAGATCTAATCTAATTACAAGTGTGACATTTGAAGAAGTGGCCACTGTTTCATGTATGTGTATCAGAGCGATTCTCAGTCATCTCAGAGATCAATTGATTGTCTGACGACATGCTTCAGTCATGCTAATTAGGTACTAAGCACTGATTAGGTACTAAGCACTTTGATCACATATCTACCAGGCTGCCATGTGGAATTGCTTAGTTAATCTGCACACTATTTGGTTGGCATAGTATTTTAATTGAGTTTTTAGCATAAGGACATTTGAAATGAGCTGTCTGGCAGTAATGACTAATGAGGACCCCTTAGTGTTTGGGATCCCTGTAACTTCAGTGGTGTTATGTCTAGCTGAGATATGAATCAATTGATGCACAATTAGATACTCGTACATCTTACAAGCACACTCAGCAAGTGCATCTCTGAATATGTGTTAATATCCATGCTTGAGAATTTGTTATTCATTACTGCATTCCATTGCCAACAACTTTGACATCCGTAGTGCTGCAGACATGCTACCTTCGTCAAAGAGAAAGGATAAAACATCAGTGTACAGAGCTCATCATAAATCCCTTTATCTGAACTTTTTCCTCAAATCAAATCAGTCAATTGTTCATTCTTTTTTTACCTGAACACAGTCATTATTTAATCTATATGCAGTTAAGGTTTTTTCCTCGCTTCAATTGTTTATGCACACTGGCAAGTGCTTGATAATATTCAATTAATGTATTATTAAAATTTTAATATATATATATATATGCAGATCACTCTTCAGAAATTCAGCTCTCTGTCAAGCTTGTGCAGGTGCGTGTTGTTTTTTGCAAGCTATTTCTGTAAGTGCTGGACGAGAGGGTCTACTCTATTAGTTGTTGGTTCATTACTATTCATTGGCAGACAGTCCCTTGTTGCTCTGAATTTCACAGACAAAATGGAATTTCTGTATAGTTGTTTGCGTCCCAAGGTCTATCTGTACCATGCTAATGCTTATTGCATTAATTTAAGGCATATATAGTTTAAAATACTGAGATTTGGACACTGTGCCAATTCTAAATAATTTTAATTTTTCTATTCATCTTGAGTGTACCAAAAATAGGAGTAGTAGGACATTTTGTCTATCCCTTTCATATCAAATCAATTATGCATTATTATTAAAAAAAAATTAGTTGTGCATCTTCGGTTGTTTCATATTTTCAGCTATCACTTATGTGACCTGTAGCTTCTCCATATATAACTTTTGAAATAAGCACTAACCAAGGTAGGTTCTCTTATTATCTATGCATTCAATCTGGTAGGAACACTGCTCCTATTTTGCTATCATGCGCCCTAATTTTTTGGTCCCTATTGTTTTCAGATGAACCATCTTAGATTGTCAAAGCAGTGATCTAATCCTGACTCTGTGATACAGTTCATTAATCTTTCTTAGGTAAGTAATCCTGACTTGGGCACCACCCCTTTGCTGGAGATTCAAATTTCCCTCTTCATGATGATGTGCAGAATGGGAAATCAAAAGCGGGAGAGATAGATGAGAACAAATGAATTTGGTTGGAGTTGCAGCGGGCAGCGGCTTGCTTACTTGAGGGAGGGAAGGAGGGATGCAGAAGGAGAGGTGGTGCAGAACCCGACTTCAGAGTTATTATGAATGCCAGCTTATGTAACTGTCTTTATTTCCTCCTGTCTTCTATCTCAGACAATGATATAGCCATTTATCCTTAGCTTAACATTTCAGCACTCTACAAGTGAGACACCATTTATGTTACAGATGTTTCCACCTTCATAAAGTCATCATTAACACTATTCCGACTGATTTGTTGTGAGAGAAAAACACTGTTCTGGCTGAAAAAACAAGCTGAAAAGTACGGATTATAATAGAAGCGAACAGGCCTCAAGCTATTCTGTTTGAAGTGGAACACTCAAAATTTTATTGCAATCAGAGCAGCAACGTCAAGTGGAACACTCAATTTTTCTTGTTTTGTCTCTACTATTTTATTTGTTCGCTGAAGGTTCCATTGTCAGTGTTGGTAATGATGTCAAAATAATATTTGTATTGCCTCAGCCTTTGTCTGAATCTAACAGATAGATCTCTTGTTAGTACTCTAGCCTAATTTAGGATTAACAAGTGCATCTTAATTCTCATGGGTTTTGGGGCAATGTATTGTTCCTTGATGACACTGGATGATCTTCGGATCACTTTTTCATCTTGTTTCGGAAAAATTTGAAAGTGGCTCAAGCTATATTGTTAAGAACCCTAAGTACAAGCTAGGAGATTCCTCCCCTTCTGCTTGTGATTTCTGTAATTCAAGGCAAAAGCTCAATTATTCTTTTCAACCTACTGCTGCCTCTGTGAAAGATCTAGGCCCTTGTTTGGGTTTTGGTAATTAATGATAACACTTGTGGACTAACCTTTCATTTGTAAGTGTGTGAAGAAAAGTTGGTTTAGTTCACAAAACCAATCTCGCTCAATCAAGAGATACATAACAAAAACCAATCTCACTCAATCAAGACATACATAGATAGAAACCAAAACCAATTGTGCTCAATCACAGTCTAACATTTCTATTTCTATCAGATTATAATTACACCATCGCCCGCCTGAGACTCACGTCTTCGCCCGCCCGCGCCAAGACCACCCCCACCCACGATCAGCGCGCCACGTGATCACACGACCCCCGCCCCGCGTCCTCGCCTGGTTGCAAAGGGTTCCTCGACTGCATATAATGGTGCCACCTACGAAACCCATCGAATTCTTCGCTACATAATATACATTTGCCTTCCCTCGCCGCCAGTATCAACGCGTGCATCGACTCCCCTCCCTCAGCAAGTGTACTGCTGCTCGCAATGTCTCTTGCTTGGGGAGACTGCTCCATTGCAGATGAGCCGAGCAGCACGCAAAGACAACACCGGGCGGCACGGAAGGAGAACGTCATGCAACTCCATTTCACGAGCTTGCTTTCCAGATTACATGTCACTTTAACGTCGGTATATAATTTCACAGTATTGTTATCTTATCGTGCGATCCGTGTGTTTTTAGTACAAAAGTTTAGTTGTCTCGTAGCAACGCACGGGCACGCTACCTAGTTCTAGAATAAGTCTAAGAAAATGCGAGCACCAGCGTCAAGTCGATGACTTAACTAGAGTGGATAAATTCAACTAGCTAAGTTACGCTCAGTTCGCGTACTACCATGCAAGTTGATGGTGGGAAAATGGAAATTATTCTCGTGAACACAGAAGCAACAACACTTGATGGCGCTATATATTTGTATGGAAGTGTTGCTACTTTCGTTCCATGTCCCGAGGTCACTACATACAAGAAGGGTCGTTGCTTTCATGCGTTTTATATGGTACATACATCTCCTCGGTGGTCTCCCCGGTGGTCTTAGAGACACATGCAAGGTAGGGACGTAACTGGCATCCATGTGTGCACCAGCAAGTTGCCGATCGAGTTGGCATTTGCTCATCCCTACTTGCAGCCAACTATGGCCTACCAAGACTCCAAGGAGGTGCTTGCCACATCGTAAATGCCTATATAGAACCATTACGTACAGTTCTTGCCATGCACATCCATCTCTGAGACGACAAAGCCAACCAGATTAAGAGCAGCTAGAGGAGAAGAAATGTACGTAACAAGGCCTCTGTCAAGGTACCTGGCCGACACCAAGGCCACGGCAGAGCCGCCGCCTGAAGGACCGGGCTCAGGGTTCCTCGTCGTGCTCGACGAGGCTACCGAGCAAGCGAGTACGCTCTGCTGTGGCCTGTGCCTAGATCCCAGGGTGCGCCGTCTCCCATTCCCTCAGAACAGGCAGCTCTCCGTGAGGCAGGGCAACAGCTCTGATCCATTGGAGGGTTTCGGGAAATGTATCGATGTTATCTCGGAGATTCTAGGTATGGTATTAGATGTCGACTCCGGCAGGGCTCCGGGCGCCGGCAAGTATGTGGCGCCACCTGACTATGTCATGTTCCCTGCCCGTCATCGGCCAGCCGCTGTCGTCCGGCCGCTACTATGTCGTCAAGGTCTACGGCAAAGCACACCAGGTGAGCACATAATACATCTCGGCCGACGATGATCGATGTCTCAATCTCACTTACCATCTGACTGACATGTGACATGCATCCGTGCAGGAAGGTGTCGGCGTGCTCAAGGAGGAGGACCGGACGGAGTGCTGCTTCCGCTCATTCCCCACCCACGTGAAGCCCAGGGCCTTTGACCACGGCGACGTCTACCAGCAGATGCAGGTGCAGCAGTATCGCGAAGGCTTCAAGGCAGCGGCGGTCGCCTCGGAGGGTATCCCGCCAGACTACCTTTTGAAGAAGGGCTGGACGGTGGTCGCCATGGCGAAACCGAAGTACCACGACCTCGCCGACGACGCGCGAGGGGTTGACTCTGCTCTCCGAGACCGGATGCCTGACCTCGAGAGCCTCGGTGTCCCCTCCTGCCGTTGCCGTCGTCGTCGGCAGATGGTATGTCCCGTTCCTGTTCGTGAAGGGCGACGGGGAGCGCCGCCTGAAGGACCAGGTCCGTAAGAGCATGTTCTACAAGATGACGATGGAGCAGAGCTGGGAACTGATATACAGCCGCGAGAACACTCACCTTCAAGGGAGCAGCAGTACCAAGGCGGCCGAAATCACGGTGACTGCAACTGTGCGCCGCTTCACGGCACTGCTAGGCGGCAGCGGCACCACAGCGGTACAAGCAGGCGTGCCCCAAGCGGATGGCGGTGCGATGTGGTTCAGAGCAGCGGCGGCGGCAACAACCTGCGTGGGAGTTGTGGGCCTGGACATGGTGCTGTGGGAGAGGATGAGGTGGGAGGTGGAGAAGGGAGGCCGGTGGGTTGCGGCCACCGGCAATGGCGACGAGGAGAGGATCCAGCGGACAGAGAGGCGCGACGACGGCCTGGGCCACTGGAGCAAGTTTGGGTGCTATTTGCTGGTGGAGAGGTTTGTGCTCAGGAGGATGGATGGCACCGTGGCACTCACCTGTGAGTTCAGGCACACAGACAAGATTAGAGCAAAGTGGGTATAACCAAAATGTGAAGATGACTACTGAAGCTATCTGTACGTCAAAATTGGAGTTAAATTTTGTGCCTATGGACTACCTTGTTTCAGTTTCGTCAGTTGAGGTTATTAGGGAGTCCGTATATATCTTATTGTTGTGCTTTGCTTTCGGCTAGTTGGGTTCTTTTGGTATAGCTTGTGCGCATGTTCGTGGTGGTGTTAGTTACTGTGCTTGTCTCTTGAGTCTCAGATCTTCTATTTAAGTACAGTCAAAGATCAGAAAATGCTGCATTTTGTGGCAGCACCAATCCCTCTATGTACGTTAGTATTGTTTTTCGATTAGGTACAACTTAGACGCACACGACCCACATACTTCACTCACACTCACACCACACACACCACACACACACGCGTGTGTGTGTCCACACATGCAAAGAAAAGATTGGGAGGCTCTCTAGCCTCTAGTGCCACGCTAAACGTGCTACCACTAAACGCCGCACGCCAGGTACGCTACTCTTTCTGGAAAAATCCAAAAAAAAAAAAAGGTGAGACACCAAGGTTTGAACCTTTAAAAGACACAAAAATGACATATTTAATTTAATACCAACAGTGAATAAAATTGGCGGGACATCCTAAAGCTGCTGCACAAATTCAAAGGAATGCCAAGGATTAATATAAACAATGTTGGATCCTGCTATTTATGGTTGGACTTTTGGAATAGTAGGGTGCCAATGCACACTTTCCCAGACCTTTTTGAAAGCAAAGACAACTACCGTGGCAAAAGCCAAAATTTGTGCCAACCTGCTTGACCTTTTCCATCTACCATTACACAATATAGAAGTACATTTTCAATGGACAGTATGATGCGCAATAATTAGGTACCACATGTTTTTTTCTAATATAAAAAAGAATTAAGTAGCAGGGTGAATGAAGTCATATGCACTATAGTGTATTGTTACTTATATAATTTGTACTGAAGCATGCATTCTACATAATGACTGTGTCTAGATTTGGCAAAATTTATTAAAAAGGAAATCATGATTTGAGGAGAAACTCCTTAATTCGAATAATTCATGGGTACCTGCGTCATTTGAGTGTTCTCTTAAGTTATCTTAAATTTTTAAAAATACACTGTATAACAGGACGTAGGGAGCATATACTATGGATTTAACGTGATATCTTCTTATATAGCACAGAAATCTAATGTCCAGTTCAACTATCATAGACATGGCATCAACAGCAATACATGGTTACTACGGGAGTTCATAAAAACAATAATGTGATATCTATTAAGCATCTGAGTTGTCGTCTTTCTAGATAGGAATTTAATTATATTTCTATGACGTGTCGTCTTGGATCCAATACCATCATCCGTTTACTCGGAACTGATGACTAAGACTGCGCACAAATGAGCTTGTCAGATTTTTTTTAAATTATTAAATATTTGACTTGCATTGAGATATCAAGATATTATTTATGTATCAGTAGAGTGCATATAACTTACTGGATAAGAGCATCTTCAGCAGTCTCTGATACAACTCTCCCAATAAGATGGTATTGGTGTAGCCCAATATCACTTTCGAGATTTACTGGGGGAGATGCTGCAGCAGTACCCCAATATATTTTCCCAATAACCATATGAAAAGTGGGTCCCACATGAGTATAAGAGAAAATACGGCTGAAAAGTGGTAGTTGAGATGGTACCCATGGTATTGGGGAAGTTGTATCTCTCCCTTTCTTTGAGGGAAGATGAGAAAAATATTAGTGACCACCCAAAAAAGAAAGAGGTATTGAAAAACTGTTGGAGCAAGAAAAAAAACATAACTTTCCCCGATATAATAGTTTTATGGGATAGGGGCAAGGTTCTGGGATTCGTCCCGAATGGCCGAATTTCGGTGAAATTCGTCCATCTCGGTTGGGCCGGAGACAAAATGAAATCGGTTAAAAAATTTCGGCCCAATTTGAATTTTTGACTCAGCCCAAGGCCCATAACAGTCTAAAGATATATCCCATTCGTTGAGAAGCACCGAACTCACTCTGGAAACCTAGACCTGTTCGTTTTCTCCTCTCCTTGGCGGCTGGCAACTCTGGAACTCATAGCAGTTCCGTTTATGTAATTGGTTGCAACTATGAATTTGAGTCAAAATTTTGTCAAAATATGATTTTTTTGACTGGTCAAACAGCTGAATCCCAGTCCGAATTTTTCTGAATTTCATCCATTTCGGTAGACTCCGAATTTTTGTTTTGGCTTTTGAATCTAGAACATGGATAGGGGAGGTATCAGAGAACTGCTGGAGATGATCTAGACATGAGATGTGTCTGCCTACATATAGTCAGGAGATGCCGGACAGAGAGGTACAACTGAATATTCTCGTCGTGGTACCATTGAAGATAAGCAGAACCAGGATTGGCTACTCCACAGTGGCTGCCGTTTGAATAGTTGTTCTGCTGGTAACGTTTTCAACCCGTGTGCTCATAGCGCCTTCCTACTCGGTCTTGAGACTGACGCATGGGCCAGGGCTGGTGGGCTGGGCGGCCAGCACTGTTCTATAGACCGGCTTGGGTGCTGTGTTGTGGGCCCCGTACTACTGCTTGGTCTATGTGAGCCGGGTCTACACCGAGAAGAATAGAGAAGGGGTGGAGGCACTGTCCATGACACGTGGGACCGGAAAGTGGCCGTGCCGCGGTGCTATTGGTCCTGGCGACGTGGACGGCTTATCCCTGTCTTCGCTTCACGGCTCCTGTGTCCAGTCCGACCGAGAAAGACAGTAAGCAGAGGGGAGGAGCAGAGCAGAGCGACGGCGGGGATGTGGTCCGGCTCCGGCGGTATGGTGGCCACAGCGTCGGCGAAGCGGCTTCCGATCGCTCGGGTGTAGGCGTCGCTGTTCTCAGGCAGGGGTTCTCGCTCCGGGGCTTAGCGTGGCGCTTGGCGATGCCGGAGCCAGGCGGCGGTGCCGGCGAACCGAAACAGCCCTGGCCGACTGCGTCGAGGAGAAGGGAGGCGGTGCTCAGAAGGAGCTCAGAGGGAGCCAGCTCGGAAGGCTGAATGGTCGAAGCCGGAGCTCGATGGGCAAAAAGGCAGCTTGCTGGCCGACTATTTATAGCCAAGCTCGTCTAACAGTAAGGCGGTGGCGGTATGAAAAATCTCAGTGGGCAGAGGATTTTTTGCCGGCAGCCATGGCAGTGCGGCAGCGGCGGTCACGCGCACGCGGGCTCGAGCTGGTTCTGCCATCCTGCGACGTGGCCACACGGCGGCGGTTGCTGTCTGAGTGCCGCTGGCGGCAGTAGTGCAGCGTCCACACGTGCGCACGAGAGCTGCGAACCTGATGGCGCGGCGACGGGAATCGCGGCGGCGGCGTGAGCTGCGAAGACGATACTAGGAATCGGACACCAGGAAGACGACGCGAATGCTGGGCCAGCGTGGTGCTTGTGCGGCGAAAATATCTTGCCAGGGAGAACTTTACCGGCAGCCATGGGAGCAGTGGCGGCGCAGTTCCCACGCGCACTCGTGTGCTGCTCGTGCTGCTCTTGCGCGCTTGCTTCCATCAGACACAGTGGCTGGTGTCCACGCGACCACACGGAGACCTAGTACAGGTGCACAACCAGGGAAGGGAATTTGGGCCGGCGTACACGAGTTTTTGGGGAAAAGGTGTTTTGGAAATTAAGGAAATATTTCTGGTGCCGGAACTAAATTCCAGAAAAGCACACAAGCACTCAAAAAATGCAAGGTTTGTGGAAAAAGATTTTCAAAATGGTTTTGCATAAAATCAAATAGCCAAGTTTTAATTTGTTGTGAAACTCTAAAAGTGCATATTTTAGTGAATTTTAGTACGAGAAAAACATACAGGGTGTTACGCTGGTCCTCATAGACTTCACGATCCGAACAATGACCGCCGATGGTATATATGTATGCATGGCTGATCATCACACAGACTACTGCCACGCGATCGTGCCGTGCTCAGATGAGACGTGCTTCTACTACTGTGGGGTCACTCCTAGACTCTCGCCCTCGCCGAGGGATGCGGGGGGAGAGGCCGAGGGTTTCCCACATATAAGTGTTTAGACCATCGCGGAGGGACAGACGAGGGAACTAGCAAGCAAGGAAATAATATGGATTAAATGCCTATTAATTTGACCAGAAAAGTTCAACCCCTTCTTTACACGAGCGCTCCGAGCATTTATAGGCCATGCCAGGAGACACGGTGAAATTACATCAGGGTTAGACCCTAGCTAGCATACGCTACACAAAAGCCAGGGGTACGGCGGTAATCTCCTTTCCTCAGCCAACCACTCCTGGGTCCAGTTCCTCCGAACAGAGACAATGACCTTGGCCCCCCCAATGAGGGTTGATCTCTTTTGTCACCGTCCCGCGACCCTCTCGCCACGCTCCTCCAGTAGCAGCCTGAGCTTGAGCGTGCACTGAACCTACAGATGAGATGAACCAATTAATTAAGGGTACCCTCGTCATGGGGGTGACACCCAGGACAAGGTCGGATAAACCGAGCCAGCTTCAATTTGGGGTTAGGGGAGGAGCGGTGCCGGGGGTACCTCCCCCCAACAGCAGCCCCTCGTGGTTCGGGCCCAGCTTGATGGGTCGGAGCAACGTTAAAACTTGGGGAGGGGGCACGTGTGGGTACCTAGATTGCGGCCCCAGTCCAGCGACGCCCCTATCGTGCTCGACCGAAGCTAGGCCTTTGATTGGTTTGGGTAAATGGGTTCGTTGTGGGTTTTGGATGGGGTTTGGGATTGTTGGGTGTTTTCTGTTCACGTTTTTCTTGGGGAGTGGTTCCTGAATCTTCGGGATTTGCACCGGTTTCTTTCCTTAGGCGCGGGTGCTAGGTGCCTATAAATACTTGTGGTGGGTTAGGGTTTTCATTGTTGCCTTGTCTCGATTGTTTGGCTAGTTGTCTTGGTGAGCTTCTTTGAGCAAAGGTTCGATTATTGCGAGGGTCGCTTTTTTTGGGTGTTCATGCATTTGTTTGGCTTCATTTGCCTCGCCGCTACTGTTGAGGTAATTGCTTGTTCGTT